TTTTTTTTTTTTTTTTTTTTTTTTTTTTTTTTTACAATGTGGTTGTGAAGTAATTGGTCACTAAGGAGGCATTCATGGATTATGCTGTGGTGCTCAATCACCATGCTCATGGATTTCTGATTTGTGTGTGTTTGGAACTTTGCAGATATGGCGGAGTCTATCTTGACATGGACGTCGTGCTAATGAAGCCGCTGCAAGGGTTCCGTAATTTGATTGGCTGTTCAGTGGAGAAGGGGGAGCCCCCTCAATGGGAGAAATTGAATGGGGCAGTCATGATCTTCGACAAGGAGAGGTAAGCCGTAAAAGAGAAGAATAGTCATAGAGGCTAGAGCTATGGCGGGAGTGGAGATGAGAGTCTATAGGCATGGCAATGACACGAAGGATAGCCACAGCTATGGGTCTATGTGTGGAGTGATATAAGAGCCTAAAGCCCATGGAAATGACTAGAAGCCTAGTAGAAGGATAGAAAATTAGAAATAGGTATGGCGGGAGTGGATATAAGAGCCTATAGACATGGAAATGGCTAGAAGGATACGAATAGTTATGGGTGGGGTGGATGTAAGAGCCTATAGCCATGGCAATGACTAAAAGGATAGCCGTAGCAGCTATGGCGGGCGTGGATATAAGAGCCTATAGCCATGGAAATCACCAGAAGGATACAAATAGCTATGGCTGGGATGGATATTGCCTACGGCCATGTCAATGTGTACCATCTTCCCCCGAACATAAGGCATATGTTTTCTAATAGAAGGCATAGGTCGTCTTCTATTCATTTAAACTTTAACTGCATATGTGTTCTTTTGGAGTTTGCGGCGGCAACAACTTTTGGAGTTTACCTATGGCCATACGACGACGAGGAGGGCGGTCTGGGTAGAGTAGACTCAGTTGTCCCCATGAATTACCGCCGTGAATTTTTGCCTGCACTGTTGTACAGTAAAAGCCAGTGTTTCATCCCTGTGCACTACCAGTGGGCTCCCTGGGTAAAAGGTGGACCACTTACAGCCGCTAGAAACTGTGAGGGACGAAACCGTCAGACATGCAGCTAAACGCAGGTAGGACGCTATTGTCGCTGATGGAGGAGGGATCGCGGTGCAAGCCTATAGTGGCGGGCCGATACATAGCAGACCCATACATAGATGGAGGGATCACGGTGCAAGCCTCTAGTGGTGGGCGCGTACATGGACCCATCTGGTGAGCCGTCAATGAGGGTCGGGATTCCCCCTCGCTGATGGACAGCCACCAATCTATGGTGCCAAAAAAAAGAAAACGTCTTTTCTTTTTTTCAAAAACTCCAGCCTGGGTCTACTAGGGGGGTTGATACGAGCAGAGCCCCCTAGTATCCCACCCTGGTATGCCCCCTGCTGGTCTCTCTCTCTCTCTCTCTCTCTCTCTCTCTCTCTCTCTCTCTCTCTCTCTCTCTCTCTCTCT